ATATATATATATATATATATATATATATATATAAATATATGTATATGTGTATATATATGTATATGTGTAACATATTAGGTGTACAACTTTGCTTCCGCCGTTTTTTTCCGAAATTCGAGGCTTTATTGTAAAAAACTGGTTATACATTTATGATTCAAAGTATTGTCAATCGCTGGCCACTACTTTCTCCCATCTTTCGGGCAGCGTACGAATCCCGCGTCGAAAAAACTGGTCATCTTTTGAGGCGATCCACGAATCGATCCAATTTTTTACTTCTTCATAAGACCGGAAGTACTGGTCAGCCAGGCCGTGTGCCATTGATCGAAACAAGTGATAGTCAAAGGGAGCAACGTCTGAAGAATACGGCGGGTGGGGTAGGACTTCCTATTTCAACGTTTCCAAGTATGTTTTGACCACTTTCGCAACATGGGGTCGAGCATTGTCATGCTATAAAATCACTTTATCGTGTCTCTCGTTGTATTGCGGCCGTTTGTCTTTCGATGCTCGGCTCAAATGCATCAATTGCGTTCGATACCGATCGGCTGTGATTGTTTCAGTCGGTTTTAACAGCTCATAATACACTACGCCGAGCTGGTCCTACCAAATACAGAGCATGACCTTGGAGCCGTGAATATTCGGTTTAGCCGTCGACGTGGAACCATGGCCGGGAACTCCCCATGCGCATTTTCTGCGCTTGGAATTATCGTAATGAACTCATTTTTCGTCCCTAGTCATAATGCGATGCAGAAATCCCTTCCGTCTTTGCTTTTCAAGCAGCTGTTCACAAGCAAACAAACGCCGTTCAAACGCCGTTCAACATCTCTCGGCTTCAATTCGTACGGCACCCAATTTCCATGCTTCTGAATCATTCCCATGGCTTTGAAGCGTTTTGAAATGGCTTGTTGAGTCACTCCCAATGATCGTGCCAATTCTTCTTGATTTTGACACGAGTCTTGATCAAGTAATGCCTCCAATTCTGCATCTTCGAAAACCTTCTCTCTTCCACCGCTATGCCGGTCTTCGACGTCAAAATCACCGTTCTTGAAGCGTTGAAACCACTCACGACACGTTCTTTCACTAATAGCGGCCTCACCATAAGTATTTGAGAGCATTCGATGAGCCTCAGCCGCAGATTTCTTCATATTGAAGCAGAAAATTAAAACCTCCCGCAAATGACGAGAATTTGGCTCGTAAACTGACATTTTCAATCGAGAATAACTTTATGATGCAGACACAAATCGACTAATGTTTCTATGGGGTTATGTTGACAGATGCCCAAGTTTATTGTATGACGTCTATGATCTATTTATTTCGACCACCACTTACCGCTAAAACCATTTATAGGAAAACGGCGGAAACAAAGTTGTACACCTAAATATACATATATATACATGTATACATATATACATACATATATATCATATATATATATATATATATGTATATACACATATATATACATATATATATATATATATATACATACATACATACATACATACATATATATATATATACATACATATATATATATATATATATATATATATATATATAATATGTACACACACATATATACATATATAGAGTGTTTTCTCTAACTGTAGCATAAAGAATATCTTTGTTTCCTTTGATGATATGAAAAAGTCAAGGACAAAAATTGTTTGATTCAATATTTTGGTTTAATATTTTAGTAAAGTAAATACATATTTTTTTTACTGTCATTTTTTATGAGATTTCAAAACCATTCAAAATTTTTTTAATGAAATTTTTTAAATGAACGTATTTTTATTAACACAATGATGTAGCTTACAAAAAAAATAAATTTAATCATATGATATATGTTGACCTTCAAATGACTTTGAATCACAAAAGTCACGTTCAGGAAAACAAATTAAAAATCAAGAATGTTTAATTTAGGAGAGAAATAATTTTAATCTGTGAAGAATCAGGGAAAAATTTTGTGCGGGCAACATATCCGCGGTCTAGTTGTATGCGGAAAGACATTCTTGTCGTCGCTATCAATCCAGAGCTACTCACATAGACTGGTTTAATTATTCTGTGAAACAGACAGTATCGATATTGGAATTTCTCGAAAGTGTAAAACGATCTTTTATTTGTCGTATTCAAAAGTATACAAAAGTTAACGGTAGTCATTTGAAAGGCCTGTAGTCATTTTAAAGACCTTTAAAAAATATACATCTTTATACTGAAACATCAATTTTTAGTTTGTTTTCTTAAACGTGATTTTTGTACTTCAGTCATTTGAAGGTCAACATATATCATATAATTGAACTTGTCTTTTTTGTAAGTTAATAAAATCACTGCGTTAATAAAAATACACCATTTCATTAAAAAAATGTTCATTTCAATGAAAATGTCGATGACTTTGAAATTTCAACTTTTTGAAATTTTTGACCTTAAAAAATGACAGTAAAAAATATTCGCCTTACCAGAATATTAATCTCTCTTTGAATCGAACAGTTTTCGTCTTTGATTTCTTCATATTATCAAAAGAAATAGAGATATTCTAAGTGCTCAAGTTAGAGGAAACACCTTGTGTATACATGTGTGTGTATATATACAGGGTGTCCCAAGGCATCTTCATAATCTCTCATGAGGACATAGAGCAGATTGAGATGAACACAAAAATCCAATACTATTTTGCGATATTCGCAATAAATCCCAAGATAATTTAAAAAATTGGTGAATGGTCACGCGCGATAAGGTTGATGAGCTGCAGTGGCGCCGTCTGCTATATCGCACGTGATTATTCACCAGTCTTTTTTAATTAATATCTCGACTATTATTGTAAATATCGCAAAATGGTATAGGACTTTTGTGTTTATCTCAATCCGCTCTACGTCCTCATGAGAGATTGTGAAGGTGATTTCCTGTATATTTATTGTGTGTATATGCATGTGTGCGTGTGTGTGTAAACACTCAATAAGTCTCCTGAGTCAATAAGTCTGGATACTCGCATTATCAATCTCTTTTTAATGACATCAGAAGCAAGAAAATGTATGCTAAAAATTCTCGTGAAATACATCGAGATAAAAGGATATATGACATAAAATGACACTTGTAATCGACACCTCTAAAATATTCCAAATACTCTCCTTTTGTTCTGACAATAAATAACTATAAAATTAACGTGACATGCAATCTTCCTTTTTAACCTAATTTTCTCATTATTCTGTCATATTAATTTTACGATTATTTATTTGGTCTGTTCTTTTCAGTTGCACTGCTGAACTGGTGCAATAAGTTAGAGTGAGAAAACATATACTTGTCTCACTTTAACTTATTACACCATTTAGCAGTGTAGCTGAAAAGAACAGACTAATTAATTGTCAGAACAAAAGAAAAGTGTTTGGAATATTTTAGAGATGTTCTTAATTCATTGCAAGTGTCATTTTGTGGATATATCTCGATGTATTTTGCAAGGAATTTTTAGCATACATTTCCTTGCTTCTGATGTCATTAAAAAGAGATGAATAATGCGAGTACTCAGAAGCCTTAAATATTTAACATCTTATATGTTACGTATAATCTTATTTGTTATAGACAATCTGTTCATATTGGATATACAGATTTCACAGAAGAAGATGTTTCTAGAATTATTACAGAATTAGGCAAAGATTTTAGAGGAGATCGTTACCACCTCATGAATAAAAACTGCAACCATTTCAGTAGTCAGTTCACATTGGTATGTTGTCTTTCTTAGAAATATTAATGATTATATAGTATAAACTGTGTAATAACAATGAATATATTATTTCAGATTCTATGTGGGCAGGAAATACCTGGTTGGGTAAATCGTCTGGCATATTTCAGTTCATGTGTACCATTTCTTCAACGCTGTTTACCAAAAGAATGGTTAACACCTGATGCTTTGCAACACTCTTTAAGTCAGATTAGTCATCACGAAAGTACACCACCATCGGATACTTCGTTGTAACATTTGCCTAATACTATTGACATGCACGGTCTAAAATACCGTAGGAGTTATACGTTGTAGGTAATTAAACGTGATGAAAAAATGTTGATTAGGACTGACTATATATCGCCAAGATGTAAAAAATTTGAGAAACTGAACCGTCAACACAAGGTACAAATTTAATATTGTACACTTGAATGCGACTGCTGATAATTAGTACCGAAAAGATTGCCTTTACTGCAACATGTCGTTTCCTAATATTTAGACTGCGATCTGCAATGTCGCATGTGTTCTTTGTTGAGTAATACAGTCAAGATATGATAGTTATATAATGAAAATAAATAATTACCTATAAATTCAAATAGTAATGAACAGAAAGCTTGTTAATTAATATGAAAAAATTTTATGTTACGTTCAAAAATTATCAATTTAAATCAAATTTTTATAAGAATCTTTACAGACATTCACACAGATGTGTCATGACACACATCTTGAGTCACAATAAACAGAATACATAACATTTATAATGCTTGTAAAGATGTGAAAAATTTTTTTAGAAAAACATCACATAATTCAAAGGAATATATGTAGGAAAAAAATTTCAAGGTTATTTTTTTCGAGATTTTAATATTATTCTTTCTTTAATCCTTTTAAATGTGATCAAAACGATTTTTATAATAGTCCATTCTTTCCATTTCTTTACATTATATAAGTTTTCTTAAATATTCAACGTAAATACATATATGTTATTAGGGAAATGAAATTTACAACAAATCTTAAGGGGATGCCAAAATAGATGACAAACTTCAAAAATGTCGATAACGTACAAACGGACGTTCAAATATCATCAAACAAACACTAATATGATCACGTTATCTTTTTTGTATTCCTTAGGTCTGTTCTTTTCTTGAAAGCTTTCTGAACTATATACATTGATGCAATAAGTTAGAGTGAAACCAATTTTTCGCACCAGTGTATTAATTCAGAAAGTTCTTTGGAAAAGGACTCTTGTATATATGGATATTATATAAATATGTGCTACTTTACTATATTTAGCGAAAAACATAACCACACATACACACCTCTTGAGATATACATATACATACGCACTCCTCTGTCAGTTATCTTAAATACTTGCCCGACATGAAAGTTCTGTAACTTGTACATATCTAATGTATGCTCTCCTCGGGAAATTTCAAAGAACTTCGCTGTATCTACAACTGAATTTAGAGAAACTTAAAAATATATATGAAAAATATACAAAAAGAGTTACATATACAAAGCCCGTCAAAAATTTTGGAACAGCTAATTATCTCGGAAAATATTGATTTATTTAAAAAATGTTTAAAAAACAAAAGCAGTAAGGTTTAAAGAAAGCTATTAGATGTTAATATTTATTTGACATTGGGATGACTTTGAGAAGTGTTGTTAAGGTCAATATAAAAATCTTAAATGGAAACCTTTATATATCATAGCATATCCTTGATGTTGAGAGATTCCTAAAAAAACACTAGTTACAAATCATTTTCCGATAAGAACTTTCAAAGTTATAAATCTCAGAATTATGAAGCTTCAATGCTGCAGGCATTAGCATTACCCAATATGTATCATGTAGAGGTAGCTCGGTTGGATTTACACCTCTTTTGTATATGTGTATATGGGTGTCAGCAGAGATAAGAACGTCATGGGTCATCACTTTTGTAGTATTTCATGACTCCAAATTCTTTCTGCTAACACACAATATATATATATATATATATATATATATATATATATATATATATATATGTATATATACATATATATGTATATATATATATATATATATATATATATACATACATACATACATACATACATACATACATACATACATATATATATATATATATATATATATATATACAGGGTGTTTCCAAAAGGTGGTACCAAATTTTAGGGGTATGTAGTACTCGTTAAAACAAACCAAAAAGTCTTAATGAACAGTACTCCAAAAACCTTTTATTTCTGAGTTATGAAGCATTTTATTCTGTGTAAAATAGAAAATAACTAAAATTTACAATAAATGTTCAATGTGCCCTCCGTCCATTTCAACACACAATTCGGCACGTCTTTTCATTGAAGATCGAACACGTTCAAAGATTCCGGGTTTATTCCATATTTGTTGATAACAGTTCTAATAAGTCGCAGTCTACCGCAATCAACTAAATTTGGTTTGAACTGTCCGGTCTCACGTAAGTGTTGATGAATTTTGCTAAACATTCTTCTACTTAGCTGTCGGCGATTCAGATAAGCTGCATGATACAAGCGTGTTGCTTTTGAAGCATTGCCCTTTGCTCTGCCATATATAAAATGAATATCCGTTATTTCAGAATTTGTGTAAAAATTAGCCATTTTTCAGATAACACAAAACAAGATCCACAAAACACGGTCCACAATCCAAAGTTGAATACAACAATCCCTGCGTAATTAGGTGGTCACATACGGGCGTTCGTGAATGAACTGACTTGGAAACTGTTGTCAACAAATACGAAATAAACCTGGACTCTTTGACCTTCAATGACGAAATATGCCGAAATGTGTATTGACATGAGTCGAAGGCACATTGAACATTTATTATAGATTTAATTTATTTTCTATTTTTCA